GTTTAGCCTAAATTCTCAAATCATATAGATTTCAAAGAGAGTCAAAACTATTAAGTTTTGAAGAGTGCCAAAGCTCTAAAGCTTTGAAGTGAACTGACCTGTCGGCCAGCTCCCAAGACAAGAAATATAGAAATTCACCCGGTATTTATACACTTTTGGTAGTCATGACAATGCTTAACTATAAGATTGATTGGTCAAAATTACTCATAACAAGTTCTAAACTAATCGAATTATTTCAATCAAGTCGACCAATGAAAAATATAGAATTAAACCGAAAGCACCAATCAAATTAACTCTAACAAATAAGGTACGGAAAATAAGCGAAAAGGGCAATAAAAACTGAGAACGTTTACTAAAATGCAGCCCTATTACACATACATACATACATACATACATACATACATACATACATACATACATACATACATACATACATACATACATACATACATACATACATACATACATACATACATACATACATACATACATACATACATACATAAATACATACATACATACATACATACATACATACATACATACATACATACATACATACATACATACATACATACATACATACATACATACATACATACATACATACATACATACATACATACATACATACATACATACATACATACATACATACATACATACATACATACATACATACATTACATACATACATACATACATACATACATACATACATACATACATACATACATACATACATACATACATACATACATACATACATACATACATACATGCATACATACATACATACATACATACATACATACATACATACATACATACATACATACATACATACATACATACATACATACATACATACATACATACATACATACATACATACATACATACTATATATTTACATTATTTTGTTTTAAAAATAAATTAAATTAATTTGTGTTTGGAGTTTCATTCTTATTTAATTCATTATGTACATTCTAATATTAACTAGTATTCCTCAAGAATTATCTTCATTTTATAAACCCCGTCAGCGCTGTAATGTAAAGTTAAATTGATTTAATTTATTTATATTCACATGCAGCCAAGCCGTAAATAAAAATATTGCATCTGGAACTTATATCTGACATTTACTTCGATCTCACATCAAAACAAATAAATAATTATGTTTTACGTGTATAAAAATAGAATATTTTACTGATGTCATCAGCACAACATTTCAAAGTCGTGTTAAGGGTCTACAACCATGTTTTCATGGGTTCAGACATGTTATAATTAGTAGTAAATATTTTAAATGCATATCAAAATTTAAGATTAGAGGGGTCTTGTTATTTTAAAATAATATCTTGTAGTTGATGTAATCAATTGTAAAGCAAAGTAGGCGAAATGTATTATTTAAGTTGGCTAACAAAAGCAGACGATTGATTATTTTAATTTTTTCTATATAATGGTTGAAATTTATCATAATAATGTTTTATATTCAATTATTTGCCTCATTGGATATTTTCCTTTAAGATATATAAATAGGGATGATATGTTTTGTGTAAAATAATGCATAAGATAACATATCCATGAAATAACATACAGATTGCATGTCACAAATATTTCCGTCTAATTAACATCCAATTCCTTATACGATATGATATGTTTAGGACCCATTAAAATCTAGCTTTACTTTATTTTTAGTTATATTAAAAGGAGGTCATGTAACATTTCTGAATTGATTAATTATAGTTTTTTCTAAGTTGGATGTTGTAGAAACTTGCATTAAAAGGAATTAAGACTGTGTCAATCTGCCATTTCTGTAAATGAAACATTTATGATGGCTTCATTATATGATGGCTTCCAAGATGGGTGCCATATTATTAGAATTCACCACGGTTAACACGATCATAAGAGTTTTTTTTTTAAAGAAATCCATGTCAAATTATGACAGAAATTATTATCTCATACGCATGTTGTGTAGTTTTCGGAAAAAAGACATCTCGTCTCATTTCAAAATGGCAGTGGTTTGGTGGTACATAAACAAATACTTTTTTAAAACCTGGAGTATTACCCAAAATAACATGTAAGTTTGCAATATTTACTGTCCCGTGCTGTAAATTAACGTTTATATTAAATTTAAGTCATTCCAGTTTCTTTTTTCAGTCTCAAAATGGCCACAAATTAAAAATAGGTCGTTGCGGAAATTTTAAAGTACAAAAGATGTATATCTTAAAAAAGTTTAAATTTACTTATAGTAACAGTTACTTATATAAAATAACATGACTGGTATCTGACTACCGTAAAATCATGGGGTTTTACAGGATGAAAACCAAAATTTAATGTAAGGCATGAACTGGTGTGAAAAAAGCTTGATGTAACCGTCACGTAACTTTATTCTTTTATGATAAATTTTATTTCTATTCTAACTTACTTGTTTCAAGTCATTTTGATATCAATCAAAAGGCACTGGGTTGACATTAGTTGCACTTTATTACAACCCCATCATATTTTAATATGGGGTTCAATATGGCACCAAACATTTTCTAGTAAATGGCTGACAGAACAACAGGGTATATTTCGAATTTGTAGGAAAACATTCGCAATCTAAGTACTATAGTAGTTTGTTATATAGCCGCATTTTTAAGATATTTCAATTGGTCAGTTTAACTAAACACTAACCACTTAAGCATCAGACACATATTTCTTTTACTGTCACATTAGAGTTAAAATCACACGTAGAAATATTGATGTATATAAGTATCGACCCCGTCATTTTGAACTCCATCTCAAATATTTTAGTGTGGCAGATCGAAAATAAGTCAGAACCCAGTATTTAAGCAGAACTCAATTGACACCTTTATAACTCTTGAACCCAAAGTGCGTTGATATGTAGCATATCAATGCACTTTGGGGTTAATTTCTTGATTTTGACCTCAAAGTGCTTTTGACCCCAAAGTGCGATGTTAAGTTTACCGCGCATTGGGTTCGGTGCCCAAAGTGCGTTTGACCCCAAAGTGCGGTGCTACGAGGCCTAATGCAATTTGGAATTCAGTGATGAGTCATTTACGAAGTAAACATTACCGACAACTACATTAGTTAAATATTTACTCTTATCCCCCCAAAATTGTTTACATTTAATCCATTTGTATGGGTTGATTTTCGTTCTAATTAAATTACTGATGCACTTTTCATTACTAACCAGTTGTATATTAAACTCCTCCAGTCAGCCTTATCTTTATTAGCCGAGGGGTGTACCTCAGTAAAGCATATCACTTAATATTAAAATATTTTTCCTGCTTTATTGATCAAGAATATTTGGTAATATTCGGTTTTGTCAAATCCTAATTAAAGGAAAGCGCATGGCGTTACGAGGAAAAAGTGACACTTCTAGATAAAAATGTTTTTGTGTTTTCAACTATTCATTGTTATTGTCTTATTTGGCTAAGGATCGTGTTTACATTATGAAATATGTAAGATAAATAAGTGTGCGTGTGCATGTGTGTGTGCGTGTGCGTGTGTGTGTGTACGTGTGTGTGCGTGCGTGTGTGAAGTTGAATACTCAAGTATACTTTCTGTATTTTTCAAAATCTTTTTGACGATGACTATTATAGGTGTATAACTGTTTGAAAATTTAAGAAGATTTACATAAAAGCATTTATATTTTATTGATTGATACTGTTGTTTCACTAATTGCCTCTTATAGTTTGCAAAATGATAATGATTGCATGTAGTGATAATTGATATTTTTTACGATTACATACATTTATGATGATTTATATAGACTTGGACCGCCACTAATCATTTTGTAAAAAAAACCCTTGTATTATATGTTTGTATATATGTACTCATACGCATTTGCCTTTTGTTAAAAAAAATATGCATTCATTCATATAAGAGCTGTTATAAATGTTATAAACTATAAAGACCGACATATTTTTTACTTGTGAGCAGATGAAACAAAACAAACGCAATATTCATTCAGTAAGAAACGCTTAAACTTTTTTTTAAACATTAATGATAACAAACACAATTTCACTACTTTACACATAAAGAAGCTCAGTAGTGAGGTTGTAACATATAATTTGACTAACAGGTATAAAATTACATAGTATGTTAATTGAAAGGCAGAACGTCATTTAGCCCTTAACCTGTTGGAAAATAATCAGCCTTTGCCACCAGTATATAGTGACATGCTAATCTGAACAAATGTGCAGTCTGACCAAGCTCTATATATACTGTTAGTAGCTTCAACAATGAATGAACAGTTCCTAATTCAATGCAGGGTAAACTCACTGTAGGTAGTTCAAGTTTTCTACCTCCACATTGAATGGATTGTTTCCTAATCCAGTGCAGGGAAAATTCACTGATGGGGGCTTAAGTTTACTTTTCCTCGTTGTATGAGCAAGCATTAACATTATCTATCTTTGTTTCCCCTCCAGCGATCCATGCCAGTTTGGGTTGGGTAGGTAGGCCGATTTTTCTTTTCATTCCAAAATATTTTTTAAAAATTATATGGAGTTCAAAACAAGTTGTGAATGTTTAGCAACTGTTAAAAGATTAGAACTTATATATTTTCGAATTTATGCAACATATATCCCAACATTTGTATATTTACAATTATTATAGCATAAAATCGGCTATTTTCCCCTCTTTTGCCCATGTTATAAAGGGACCAAAACCATGTGTTAACATAGTAACGCGCTTTTGTTATAGCCCGGCTTTACCTACACGCAATATATACAGACCCCAGTAAACAAACCATAAATGACAAGTAACTATGGGGTAGCTGTGATTTTTATGGGTAGGTAACTGGAGGGTAAACAAACAATATTTTATATAGTCCTAATTCAAAGCTTGGAAATGCCTGATATAAATGCAACATGCTAAACCATTAAGACGAAAAACATTGAAAACATATTACCAAATAACTAAATGAAACAACTATTAAAACACTGTAAACTGCTTATTATGTCAACATTATATTAACTGGAACAAAAGGGAATTGACTCAGTATTTGTATTTATTGTAATTAAGGGTAAAAGTTCTTTCACTAAAACAAAATTAATACAAATGAAATCGCATTTAAACATGAAAAAAATGTTACCACAAAACTTAAATTAAAAAGATATTAATCTATTAAAACACTGTACACTGTTAATAATGTCACAATTTACTGAAAAGAAGTGTCGGAATTTGACCAATTGTCGTATCTGTGCCGTTCAAACTCTTGTTACTGTTAATGAATTGGAAACCTACACCATCTGTCTCTACAAGGTCAAGTCCATTCACCCCACGGAATGTTGGTTTTCCTCGGGTTTTAACCTGGACTGTGAATGTTCGTTTCATAGGTACACTGACAGGTTTAGTAAGTATGACGTCATATACCTTCAATGCCTTCCCAGTAACAATCGTTTTATTTTCGTGGCGTATAATATCGTCACGATCGTCATAAACTACAAGTTCTACCTCATACGTGTCTTGACCAATTTGAGGACCAAACATCTGACATCCGCGTAACATAATTGGTCTAGAAACTCGAAATCCAATGGCATCAGGGCCTTTTAGTTGCCAACTGTTTTCCACCCCCTGAAATCGTATAACCCTTTTAACAGGGAGGTACGCTTCGTTTTCTTCCGTGTGTTTGTAAGGAATCACTGGAAATTTGGTATGGGACAAGACATCAGGGTGGTATTGTTTCGGTTCACCGTTCTTAAACGCTTTCGATACAAGGTCATAATTTACGGAATATTCATATCTTTTGCTTTTGTTAAAAGCGGGAGGTAATCTTTGTGTTTCACCATGAAAAAACTGGTACAGCGAAACCTTTTCTTCCCGCGTAAGAACCCCTCTGTGTGAAATTCTTTGTGTAAAGTCAAGTACATCCATGATTGCAAATCTGACATGGTATAAAGTCGTATCGAGTACTTTTCGTTTGTTTTCATCGGTTGGTTGCATTTTTTCTTCCAAACATCTGCGACTAGCCCACGTTGTAAGTGCTTCAAACACAACATATTCTTTTGCATTCAGATCATCAGATTTAACAATATTTTCTACACATTCCCGGCACAACTTTTCAAAATTTGACGACTTAAGTACATCTACAGCGTTCACATATATAAAATGAAGGCAACGATCAAACGCGTTTCCATCATTGTATTTATGCGCAAGCTCAAGGGTGACACATACATTCTCGGCGGTCATTTCCGTAAGTAAGAAAAGAAAACATGACGTCTTCAAAGATTCGGGTCCGTAAATATACGTGACTGGAATAAGGGCTGTCGCAGTATCAACGTCTATGTCTATGTCACCGCTGTATAAGTACCTGTAAGTTTGAATAATTGTTTTAATGTATTCTATACCAAACAACAAGATTTCTAAAAAGAACAAAAATCATCTTTTAACTAATGAATGCGTTTAGAAAATTTCATTTGAAAATTAAAAGACATCATAGACACTAGATCTTTTACCTCAAAAGCAGTCTTAAAATATCAGGTGCTACATCTGGAATTGGAATCAGCTTATCTGCAAGTCTTCTCTGCTCAGCCAAGATGTCTGCAAACTTACAGCTCCTCGAAGTTAGAACATATGAATGAGCAAAAACAGCTTCTTGATCCTCTCCAACAATTAATTTGACGTCACAACCAATCTCGTTAGTCCACATATACAAATTGCATTCGATAACTGATGCATTATTTTGCCATGCGCTCTAAAATGAAACAAAACATTAATTTTATGAATGTTATATGTCAATTACATACGAACTAAATCATTTTTTGAAGTGAAACATGCTTACGGAAAACTACAAAGGTGTGAATTGATGTAAATTGGATCAAATGATATGACATAACTTACCATAAGCTCAGTAACGATGGTTTTGGTCTAAATCAGAAACATTATCATAATTAAATGTTGAGTACAATTTCGATGTTGATTTCAGTTTTGAACATATAAAAATAAATAAAAAATGATCAAACACATCCCATTAACAATGATTTATTATTTACAAGGATATTGTGCTACTTTAAGACCAGATAAAAGTTTACACGAATGATGATATCATGGTTAGTAAGTTATTTCATAATAGGAAATCTTTGAGGCCATAAGCAAGCACAAATATTCAAAGCAAAAACATAGCAAATAAAATTTCACTTTTTTAACTTAGCTTGCTGGCGAAGAGCATACTTTGAGTTTTTCCTTAAAATAATTAAGGGTAAGGTCATGATTTAGGACAAACTAGTTCATTAATATTATCTAGCGAAGTAATGATTTATTTACAAAAAGCTTAATTTACTATTTCAATTTCTTTTAATTTAAACGGATAAATGTATGATGATAACATAGATTGAAATGACTAATCACTAAAATAACCACACAACTCTTTATGATTAATAATTTGGTATCATGAAATATTTAATTGGAAACTTATAAAGAGTATTAAGCTTTATCTCAGATTTTTTTTGTAATAAAAATTATAAATAGTACGATTATATTTTTCCTTAATCTTATGGTGAATTCTTCAAAGAGTTGTAACTTAGAACGCTTTTATTACTTTTATTATATAACATGCCGCCTACACAAAGAAGATAGAATGTTCCAGAAAAAAATATTATGTTTCTTTTTTTAGTATTTCATTGCCCAATTAGCAATCTCATCCTGTATACGCAATTCGTTCTTAAGGAAAAATTCATATACATTTCTATATCACAGGTATTTTGGAATTACATGTATACTTATAACAAAATAATGTAAAGTATTGACATCAGAAATATTGCATTCATTGCTGTAAGAAGTTTATAAAATGTTGTTATTATCATTTCAATCAACATTTTTTCTCGCAATCATAAGTTGACAAAAGGATAATGATAATAATAATTATATCAATACAACAAGCAATTATCACAGTTTTGCAGCAATACAAATGTTCACTACCGGTTAGAACCCCAACAACATTCTGACAATTCAATTATGTCATTGTGAAAGACATGAATGAACTTATATCCTTTGAGTTCTAAGTTTGTTTTTATCATAGTAATGTGTTAGTTTCCCTGCCTAGTAAGGATAAGAGACAAACAAATGATCTATTTTTCCCAGGATGAATATGTATAACTAATGTTCTAACTTTTCTCTATTTCAAGTAAATTTTGTTGCAAAAATTCCAAGTTCTTTAAAATTGATCTCAGGAAACAGATTTTGAAGGACAGACAGACATTCTGAGGAGAATTTTAAACATTTATGGTTGTTGCCACAGTATAGCATTTTTAAAAGTAATATTCTTAAACACAGGAGGAGATAACGCTGGAAATAAAAATTCTAGACTTATGAATAGCAATAAATAATGTTATTGATGTCAAAGAACAATTATCTTAAGTTTAACGTAGATACCATTTATAGTAACAAAGAAATAATAAAATGAAAAAGAAATAAAAAAAATTCAAGTAAATTTCAAGTTCAATGAAAATAATCATGGAAACCTAGACGCTAGACTTATAAAACTAATCACATATGATGTAGGTGTTAACAATGAACATATATTTGAAATTGGAAGAAAATCCAATAAGAAATAAGAAAGTTAAAGAATGAATAGGAACATTCAAAATTTAAGGAAATTATCCTGGAATCATGGACGGTAGATTTCTAAACATGTGAGTTTGAAGTTAATCCTTTAAAAATGAAGAAGTTTGAGTAAAAAAAGTATTTTCTTGAAAAAAAATAAGTTCAAGGGGGACATAATTCTGAAAATAGTCAATCTAAAGTATTGATTCTTTTCACACATGATTTGAGTGATACTAAGAAACATATATTTGAAGTTTTAAGTATATACATTAGAAAATAAAGAAGTTATAAAAAATCTCTAATTTCATGAAAACTTTAAGCTCGGGGAGGAGGAGGGGGTAATTCTAATATTTTTGAGTTGTGGACCTTGTCAGATATGATGTGGTTGATGATAAGAAACATTGAAGTTGGAAGTAAATACCTACAGAAGTAAAGAACTGTAAAAAGTGTTAATCAGAAATATGACCGCGGTCGCCGACGCTGTGCGAGTAGGATAGTTCTTAATAGACTCCCTATAGTAGAGCTTAAAATGATGTGTATAATCTCTATACTGTCATCTATCCCTATTTCAAGTTACATAGTATTGCAAGTACTGTTTTAGTTAAACAAACATTGTCTTTTTTGCCATATTTATAGTCTATTTGTTACCAAAGCAACCATAATTTTCAACAAAGGAAATAATATTGTACAGAATCTTCAGATTGCCATCAATCCGTATTTCAAATTTCATAAAAATATTTTCAGTTCTTTTTTTGCGTTATCACGGGATCCAGATCCAGATAGATTAGAAGTATATTTATTGCCAAAGCAACCACAATTTTCAACATAGGAAGAAAATAAAAAAAAAACGTGCATAATCTCCCGACTGCCATTTATCCATATATCTGTTTGATAAAAATATTTTCAGTACTTTTTGCGTTATAATGAGATCCAGCTTTGTGGACGGACTGACAGACGGACAGGCAGACAGACGAATGTAGGGTAAACCAGTCCCCTTCGGTTAAATTGATTTTTGGCAACAAACAGAAATAAGAATATTTGTTGTTAACAATAATACATTTTTAAGGTACATTCAGTACAATGGTATAATATTATTGTTTTAAACCCGGATCGATTCCAATACCACCACGACAATAGGCAATTTAAACAGTGATGTTAATCTATTTAAGTTTATCATTAACTATTAATGATCTCATTGTTATTAAATTGATTGTAAAAGCGGTTTCAGAATGTTCAGAATAATTGCAATAAATAAAGTGCAAACATAATATATTGTTTACAATTTCTTACTTTTATAACAACAATTATAATTTTTCATTAGGTAATGGGCACGTTATGTGATCTGAAGCGCATGTTTGAATGTTATAAAGCTTAAACGTTTTTATGTTTAATGCCACCCTGCATTTTCTTACAAATATTTGTATGTGTGTTTTTATTGTTTTTTATCTTTTATATATTTTTTTTATATAATCTTGCATGCTTGGGAGACTATTGAATAATATTTCACCAGAAATTAGCTCAAAAACATATTCAATTTACTTAGAAATATTTAAAGTGAAACAATGCACCAGGATGGCTAACAGGCAGAGATAATAGTCATTTTGGTGTACAGGATGACACGGGATCATGAGTTTTGTACATATTCATTCAGAAGCTTGTTGTTTTTCTATGTTATAGCATGATACTCAGTCTAGTTTATCACTTGGAATAAGTATATGTAATTTACTCTTTAGATGAAAACATTAACAACCCAAAATAACATGCTATTTTGTTATTTAAAGTTTTATAATATGAGGTTGGACGTTTTAAGGCCCTTAAGTATGCCGACAGACATATTCATATAAAGCCCTTCAGGTCCCATATGAGCCAACTTAACAAAAATGCCATTACAACAAACAATTACAGTCCTTTCACATCGCAACCACATATGAGAAATATTCCTAAGAATTTGAACGATACCTGACCACTAACTCAACAAATACAGTCATATGAGCCAACTTCATATTGTCTGCGAAGACTGATATAGAATGGAGTCAAGACCCCCTTTAACATGACTAAAGCTACCGTCAATAAAAAGGCAAAAAAGTATAAAAATGATATGTTCTATATCATTTGCTGAATCTTACTATGTGTAATTTCACCAGGTTTGGGATATTCTTCTTATTATTATACACAATTGAAAAAAAAGAAACAATGTTGGCTAAAATTTCATTCCAAATTCGCCTGTAAAAACCTGGAAAGAATGCTCCCGTGCATCAAAATTGTATCATCACAGAAATCGACTTGCATACATATTTAGTATCATTCAGTGAATTACTGAATTCAAAATTCATAGGTCACCTTTTGGTTGATAGTAACATTTAAGGACATGAATGGTGACATGTCCGTGGTCCGCACTCTCAGTGCCTGAAAAGACGGATGGACCCTCATTAATCCTAGAATACATACATACAAAGTGCAATATGCTTTGATTGAAACACAACAAAATAAACTTGATAGTATTAAATGTATTTTCCTATCAGAATTCAAATGCACATGTACGTTTTATAGGGGCAGTTTCATTACTGCAATTGAAATATCTGCTAATAATCGTTAACAGAATGGCACTTATTTGAGCATTAAATAATACCTGGATGTAAAAGACCTGATGAAGGTGTTTTATTTACTTAAGGAAATATTATATAATAAAAATGGATGGACCAATTGAAAATTACTTGTATCACATTAAATAATTTTTAAACCCCATGTCCTTGTTTGATAGTTTAAGTTTGATAATACATGTACTTCCTTATGCTGTATCATCTCAGCGCTGAAAAAGCTTTTGAATTCTTCCCATCTTACTTACTAATAGCATATCATCCCAAAATTCCCTACAGAAAACAGTATTTTAATTAAGTTGATACTGTATGAAGAATTCATGAATTTTATGGTGAATTGGTTATTCAATTTGTTGGTTAATTGGTTATTAGAGTCATAGCTGTACCGATTCCCTGAACGATGTATTTAACTGAAGCGTAAAAAGTTCAAACATTTAGATATTTACGTCCTCTGTCAAAGCAGGTCTTCAACTGTTTGATGAGCGAATGCCACGAATATTACCAAACATGTAACAATCTGAGCTACCTACTCACATTTCATTTAAAACAGATAAAG